ATATATGCACACTCTATATTACGACATTTTAATGCCCTTTTGTTTTAGGAATCGTGCCTTTATTATGACAAGGTTGAATTGTGGCGGGTAAAACCGAGTTGAATAGTGTGGGTCAAACCACAATTTGAAGCCCTTATGTCATTCTGCACCACTAAACATATGTTTTTTTTTTTGGCCAGCACACTAATTATATATAATTGATTCATAGTTATTTCATAGCATCAATTTTCAGAATGCTGATCATTATACTTAATTAAATATAAGAAATTAAAGTCAGACGCAACCACTTTAGAATTCTCTATAAAAACCTGTAACTAAAGAATTAAATTTAATTAATTATTTTCAAAAGTTATGATTAATCGATTGTTTAAGGTTCCAGATCATAGAAACACCCTATAAGGACGAGAAATGCCTAAGGGAAATGAGATGGGGAAAACTTATAACGCATCAATATCTCAAAACTCTAATAATAAAAACATTATTTTCTTTTTTTCATATTTGTATTTTCTCAAAATTCATTTTGTATATAGAAAATTCAGCCAGGAATTAGGCTCGGGTAAGTCTTGGAAGGAAAGGGAAGGCATGGAGGCATTTGAGAAAATTCTCCGAAAAAGTAAACATTTTTATTCCGTACGCAACGGCAAGAGGAAAAAACATGTATGCGGTTGCAGGTAGGGGTGTTCAAGGTCGGCCCGTCCCGGTTGGCCCGTTCCGGTCCCGGTCTTATTGGGACGGGACGGATCCGTCCCGAAATTTTTCACGACGGGACAAAAAAGGGACCGGGACACCAGACGAAGTGGTCCCATCCCGGTCCCGTCCCAGTTCTTTTTTTTTTTTAATTTTTTATCCTATTTATATAATATCATTTTTTTCATATTTTTTTAAGATTTGAGACTATTGTATGGAACTATAGATATATTTATTTAGAGTTTTTATATTTGTTAATGATTTGAGATTATTAATTATTAGAATTTTTAACAAGTTTTTATTGTGTTAAAAGTTTTTGTTTAGAGTTTTTAATGATTATTATATATAATATTTTGAGCTTTTGTTTAAGAGTGCCCAAACAAATAAAAAAAATAAAAAGATTTTTTTTATAAGGTTTAAGTCCCAAAAAATATAATTAAAAATTCAGATTTTATTAAAAAAATTTTAAAAAATTAAAAAAAATTAAAAAAAAATATTCGGGACGTCCCGGTCCCGTCCCGACCGGGACAACCCCGGGACGGGCCGGGACACGGGACAGAAAATCTGTCTCGTTACTGTTCATCGGGACGGAACCGGGACGGGCCTGTCCCGGTCTCGATCCGTCCCGTGAACAGCCCTAGTCGCAGGTTGGTGAAATATTCTTATACGTCTTCTTTCGTTTAATTTTTCCATCAGCATAAAGTCAATTTCTTATTAGGCCCCCAGACGCCACGCCAATTCATTTTCTTTTAATTTTCGTCTTTATTCTTATACTTCTCCAAAAGTCTTCCTTCATATTTCTCACCTCACTGTGTAATTATGTTAGTAATCTTTTGGGGAAAAAAATAGTATAATACTTATATATATATATATATATATATATATATATATTTGAAAAACAGACCATGTGACTGCCAACATTAAAAATCTAACAAGATGTGACGTTAACTCACAGCGAACAACTTGGGTAATGGCTTCACGAGGGATCCGAATCGCTCAATTGGAAATATATGTGTGTGTGGTGGAGAGCCAAAGCTTGGCGCATTAGATTAGTTACTTTGAATAAAAATAAAAAATGAAAAAGTAAATAATGGAATTAATAAAAGTGGCTAGGTCCGATTTAATACAGAGGCAACTGTTGCATAAGGTTTCTCCAAACAAGTTCTGGCAAAAGACGAATATAAACTGTCTTATCTTGGAAGCGGAAATACTTCCTAGAAGATTTGAACACGCCATCTTTGATCTCTAGATTACATGTAGAGATTTAACATGGTTGTTAATTTTGGAAATAGTACGTAATAGCACAAAGTAAAATAATAGTACCGTCCTAGATAACTGATTTAAAAAAATTAGTTAAATTAATTATTTATAATTATTAGAAATTCTTACAATAAAGAAAAATATTTTTAAAAAATTAAAATGGTATGATTATGACCAAATCCAATCCCCTAATTTACTTTTATATTAAAGACAAAAGTTAGTACGGAAAAATAGAGCGGAGAAGTGAGGTGAAAAAGACGATAGATGAGAGGCTGGTGGTGGTGATGTGGCACTCGAAAATAATGAGGGAGTTGAAACACGGGTCAACGTGTGGGGCCGGGACAGCGTGCACGCGGGGGCGACATGTGGGGCCTACTTGAATGCCCCAAGAAGCCTCAGCCTCCCTTGCCTCTTCAGAGTCGGAGCCCTGAAAAATGAAAATGACTCCTTCCCTCAGTTTGAATTTCCTCACCTCAATCCCATTCTCACGGCTCCATCATTTCCGGCACTCTCCATTCTCTGAGATTTTTTTTCCAACTAGAATTAATAACATGACAAATTTTCTTATATAGTAGTTAGACAATTCATTTATACATATTAAAAAGTAATTAATAATTTAATTATTTATAATAAATAATTTTTAAAAAATATCCTTTCTAATTATGTGTTTGGTAATCACATCCGAATAAAAACATCTTTATTATACATAATCAATAAAATACTTTTAAAAAAATATAAATATATAATTAATAAAAATAATTTTAAAAAATATAAATTTGGAAAATAAAATGAATCAGATTTGTATATTTAAAATCATTTGTCTGCTTTTTATATATACTTAGGACTGGAGACAATAATTTTTAACATCTTGATTAACTCATTATAGCTAAAAAATTAATATTGAGAAAAGATTATATATAAAAAGTAAGTGAAGCATAATTAAATAATTTAGTTTGGGAGATGAAATTGGCTATATGGTTTCTTGGTTATAACACCCTCACTTATTCACACCACTGCTCAATTTCGTCGTTCCTCAATGAGTTTTTTTTTTTTGGGGGGGGGGGTGGTCGTCACTCCTCAACTCATTACTCTTTCCTTTCCTTTTCCTCCGGTTAATTACCATAATTATCATTCAGGCCAAAAAATTACCATAATTAACCTATCACCAATAATTCGGTCCAGTAAATACGTGTTTAATTTCAGTAAAATACCATTAAACCATGGTTGCAATCTGGGGGCATATTATAGAGACATATATATGTATGTATGTATTACATCAAGGCTGCTTATTTATTATGTCAGGGGTTCGTCTTAAAATTTGTTGGACTAAACATCATACTAGTGCTTCTTTGTATATAACACCTATAATAAAGCAACTCATTAGGAATTCATATGGAAAGAGTAAAAGCTGAGTGTATGGCGCGTTATTATTTATTAGAATATGAGCTTGATTCCAGCAGATCAGATGATAACGAGGCAAAGTTTCGCAACACCGGAAATGGAAATCCTAAAGCTTCATTGGACCAGATCATGCGTCTTTCTAGATTTGTACTCCTCCGGTCCTTAATATAGAACCTAATTGTTGAGTTGGTTTTTATCCTAAATATAAGACTCATTTATCATATTTATCAATTTTCTCTAAATTACTCTCTTATGGATATTCTCTCAACCATAATCAAGTAACAGAGGAAGAAGGAGATTAAAAAAGATAATTATAATATTTTAGGAAAAACGTGTTAGATTTCTTATAATTAACTAACTTACTTAACTTCCTTAATCATCTAAAGACCGGAGGAGTATTAATTAATTGCGCTTATGGGACATCCATAATAAGCAGTCTGCGTCTATAATGGTGTATATGCATGCTTGATGCTAACCCAAACAAAAAGGCAACATCTCAATTTTCTTCACAAAAAAAAAAAAAAAGCATTAGGGTATTATATAGTGATATATATATATATATATATATTTCAAAAACTGATCTACACACACTCATAAGATTTTTTTGTCCAATAGGAGCTGATGTTTGATTGCTTGTTTGAATAAAATCAAAATAAATCAACTCTTTATTAAAATATAACAACTTTTTAACTTTACCCCTATTTAAAATATATACCTTTAAAAAAAAACCATTTACACTATAATAAATAAAGGACAATATGGTACATTCATGGTAAAAATTTAGTAAAGTGACTTATAAACAGGATAAAAAAGATTCTTTCTCTGCCCTATAAATAGAATTAGAAAAGTGTAACACAGGAAACGGCTTTACTTATAAGAATTAAACAACATTAATTAGAGAATATATGAAATTAATATAAGTTGACTATCATCAATTATTACCGTGTGTGGGAAAATCTGATTCTTGAGATCTTAAAAAATTAATTCTGATAATTGCTCTTCCCTTTAATATAATATAATGCCTCCCCCAGACTCCACCACCTTCCGGAAACCATCCAATATAAATTCAATGCTCGTACCAATCAACACATTATTACCTTCCTTATTTTCTCCAAATCATTACACGACATTGGAGCGTGTATACACTCACACGTATATATATACACATGCGTATATAGAGAGAGAGAGAGGAGAGAGAGACAAAAGACAATGACCCTCATGTCGTGTCTCTCTTCCCCATTCCCCTACATATAGCTAGCTAAGCTCTGAGGCTTCTGATATAACTTCCATGGCGGAAACCTGGAGCAGTATCACAAGTTCACGGCTTGTCTTCGTTCTAACCTTGTTCCTCCTCTTTCTCTTCGTCTTCCTCTATTCCAACCACCGAAACGACGCCGTTTCTCTCCTCATTCCCGCACAACTCCATCATCGTCATCATCTCCACAGCACTTCTTATCCAGCCACTGCTTCTCCCATCAAATTAGTATAAATGCCTGCCTTCTTTCTTGCTCTCTCTCTCTCTCCCTTATCTAATCTAATTAATTCTGGTTTTTACGAAATAATTACTCTATGTTTTGGTTAATTTCTGAGCTGATATTTATATATATATATATATATATATATATATATATATATGACAGAAGGAGAAGAAGAGGATAAAGAGGGAAGAGAGTGGATTGTTGAAGGTAGAAGAAGAGTTGGCAGAAGCAAGAAGGGCTATTCGGAGAGCCATACGAGAGAGGAACTTCACTTCACATCAACATGAGACCTTCGTCCCCAGAGGGAATATTTACAGAAATGCTTACGCCTTTCATCAGTAAGTTTTTAATTTCATCATTACTACTAATGTTAATCTAAATTTTCATATCAATAATAATACACAAAAAAAATCATCATTTTAAATGTTATATGTTCATCTGCATAATAATCTACATGAGCAGGGATCGAAAATAATAATTTGCATAAAACTGCGCTGTTAATGAGTTCCTATTCACTACGAAGCCGTAAAATATTCGGTTCAAATGAATGTACTCGTGTGCGTCATTTACATCTTATTATGGAATATATATATATATATATAATGTTAAATTAAATATAAGGATTACAGGATTTAATTTTCCTGCAAGTCATGGCTCTCTGATCAACATTATTTGTGATTTATGGCTCGAATTTAATCTCATGAAAAAAATATTTGATTTGTGGTTGACCTTTGGAGGATAAATAAGATGATGTGTTTGCGCCTTGCATGAACAGTAATTCATTTTTTTCTTTTCTTTTCTTTTTCAACTTTTTCTTGATACAATGTACTGTATATGTACTTAAATTCTTCGGTTACCTCTGAAAATTTGTTGACCTTTAAATTCAAATTAATTAATATTATTAATTATGACTGGCTCTGTGATTTGAAGATAAACACTTACATTGTTTTTTTTTTTTTGGGGGGGGGACCAGACAGATAAATAGACTGTTGACATATTCTCCATCTTTGTAATATATATTTCACTTAATTTGTGGATTGAAATTATTTTTTCCTTCCATAAGAGTAGAAATAGAGAAATCAAATAGGGCAGGCTGGAATGAATCAAAACATGGAAACTATGGTTTATTAAGTTGGCAAAAAAAAAAAGGAAACTAAATTTGAAAATAGATAAACATGGTAATTTGAAAAAAAAATTAAAAAAGAAAACGAGGGGTATGCATAAAAATTAAATTAGACTTCATGTATGATTATGTGTATTTATATTTCCCTGTTTAAAATGCAAGTGTGTATTTTATGATTGTTGATCATTAAATTTATATGCCTTTTGGCCGAAAATTAAATTTATATACTTACACAGTGATTTCATTTATGTTCTCTCTTTCTTTTCTTTTTTTCCCCCAGCTGATGGAATAATTTTAGTTTTTTTTGGAAAGTTTCAAAATTACAGACGAGGTTTTAAGGTGGTTGAAAATGATCGATTTGAAATCAATCTTTTTTATATTTAGATCTAATTCATGAAACAATATTTCTCCAATCAAAGAGAATATACAATTTCTAAATTTGAAGGCATTCCATACATAGAGGAGTATAATAAATTAAATTTAATTGATTATGAGAAAGAAATGAAATTATATTTGTCAAATCGGAGATTTCGAAACCGTCTCTAATCATTAGACGCAAAAAAAAAAAAAAAAAAAAAGGATCATGATCACCAGTACGATGCATTCTATGGAAATTAATTTAGAAACAGTAAATAAAATCAACACGTGGCACTTATTTTGTTCCTTCCACATCAAACTAAAACCGTTCTCCAAGTCACTAATTGTATTTAATTTTTAATTTTATAATATGAAGCATTCATGAATATCAGTTAATTTGGACTCAATTCAATTGCTGCTGGGTTCCAGGCGGGTTAAAAATTTACTTGAATTTATCATGAAAAATCCAATTAAAATTAAGCAAAAATGCAAGAAACAATATAATAAATAACGTAAAATAATTTATTTTTTTTGCATGGTGGACCCTAACACGATGAAATTGTCCAGGAGTCACATAGAGATGATGAAGAGATTCAAAGTGTGGACATACAAAGAAGGCGAGCCACCTTTGGTCCATTCTGGGCCCATGAGCTCCATATATGGGATAGAGGGGCACTTCATGGATGAGATAGAGAGCAGGACAAGCCCATTTTTGGCCCAAGGGCCCAATGAGGCCCATGTGTTTATGCTTCCCGTAAGCGTGGCCTACATCGTTCATTTCTTATACAGACCTCTGGTCTCCTATGCTCGGGACCCGCTCATGAGGATTGTCACTGATTACACCCACCTCGTTGCCCGTAAATACCCCTACTGGAACAGAACCCTCGGCGCTGACCATTTCATTGTCTCTTGCCATGATTGGGTTAGTCCTTTCTTTCATTCATCCATCCCTTTCCTTTTCTATTTGGGATTACAAAGGGTGGACTCAACATTTCAACCCGTGACCTAGTGCCCACTCAAGGCACATACAGCGCTATTAGGTCAAAAGGCTTTTGGGTCAGGATGGTAATACACGCAACTCGCGATCTAACCTGTAGCTGGTTGCGAGTTTACAATGTGAGTTGAAAAAAACTATTCTTCTGATCTTTAATATAAAACCTATTTAACTAATTTGATTAGATTAAGAAAGTTAAATGAGTTAAGTAATCATAAGAAATATGACATATTTTTCCTAAAACACCATAATCATCTTTCTTAATACCCTTCCTCCTTCTTTTACTTAATTATGCTTAAGAGAGTATCAATATGAGTAATTTAAAAAAAACTGATAAATATAAGAAATATGTCTTATATTTAGGATCAAAATCAACTCAACAGTTAGGTCTCATATTAAGGATTGAATGAGTATTGTATTACCATCTTTACTTTTATATTTTGCTTTCTATCATTCATTCCATCCAAACCCTCAGTCTTCTTATTATCATTTTTGAATTAGCAATAATTAAGATTATTGTTTAGAATAAATCCCAAGACGGCACTAAATGTAAAATGTAGAACAAGCATACTAATATTTAATATTTAAGAATAGAATCAAGTGTTTACTTTAAATATATGTATTTGATTGGAAGAATAATGCAGGCTCCAGACATTTCAAAAGAGAAATTAGGTAAAGAACTATACAAGAACCTCATACGAGTACTTTGCAATGCCAACATTTCAGAAGGTTTCAGACCAAATAAAGATGTTTCACTGCCAGAAATCAACATCCAAGGCTCCATTCTCAACTCACCAACCCCAACCCACCACCTCCGCAATCGCTCTATCCTTGCCTTCTTTGCTGGCGGCGCTCATGGTAGCATCAGAGAAACCCTACTCCGCCATTGGAAGGACAAAGATGACCAAGTGCAAGTCCATGAGTACCTCCCTAAGGGCATTGACTACTATGCCCTAATGGGTCGAGCCAAGTTTTGCTTGTGCCCTAGTGGTTATGAAGTGGCTAGCCCTAGGCTTGTGGAAGCCATTAATGCAGGTTGTGTGCCCGTGATTGTTTCAGATTATTATGAGTTGCCATTTAGTGATGTTCTTGACTGGAGCAAGTTTTCGATACATATTCCGTCAGAAAAGATACCGGAGATTAAGAGGATATTACAAGGGGTGTCAGAGAAGAGGTATTTGACGTTACTGAAAAGGGTGGTCAAAGTACAAAGACATTTTCAAGTAAATCGGCCAGCAAAGCCATTTGATGTGTTTCATATGATTCTTCACTCTATTTGGCTTCGAAGGCTCAATATCAGGTTAACAAGTTGATTCATAATGTATATTGAGATGGTCTTCACTTTGTTTTGTGGTCGTGTTCAACAAAATATTGTCATATCGATTGAATTTTGTCATCTATTTTGGATTACAATGTTGTTTTTTTCGAAATATATATGGATCTCAATAGTTTTAAGGTGACTTGATTGATTTGATCAAAGGAATCAACCACGTAAAAGCTGTTCAAAATGAGAAAGGAAAAAAAGAAGAAGATTCTCGTAAGGAAAAAACATTAACGACAGTTTCATATCGTCAGCAAATTTAATCAAGAGGACATTATCATTACTCTTAGAAAAAGACATTATGTAAGCTAGTGACCCATTTTAATTTATACTCTTGATTTCGCTAAATTTTCTTCCTGATAACGAGGGGAAAGTGACAGATTAGGACTATGAAAGAAGAATGCAAACAGCAAAATGTAGAATAATTGAAGACTTTGATCAGATGCATTAAAAAAAGATGGCTTGACCATATAACACAGGAATCCACCAACAATGACGAGATTCATTATTGATCAATATATGCTGTTCAAGCTAAAAATGAAATTACACTGACTAGACCTGTCTCCGACTAGTGGTCCCCAATAGCTGCCAGACTTGAACCCCTAAAGTCTTCCAAGAATTGTGGGTCCGTTTCGTTTGAGAAGCGTCCTCTCACAATGAGTGATGTATGCACTGTAACGTGGGAGTCTTGTTGATTTCCTCTGATCTTCTGAGCGCTTGTTGGTATTTTTGGGGATTGAAACAGACACCGAGCAGCATACTGGCAGATACTAACAAAGCGAGATTATTTGCAGAGAAACATTTTTTTATAAGCACACACTATCTTCTTGTTGTAAACAACAATGTTTGAGACACTATCAGATATTCAATATCAACACTTAATAGAAATTCAAAATATTGATTATTCGTTAAGTTACAAGGAACTGCATTTTTTTTATGTACTGGACCCAATTCTCATTAATTGTGGGGAAACATTCATGTTATTAAGCCATACTCTTATGGCACTATTTATAATTTATTTTCAATATGTTTTACATAAAAAAATTTAATTTTATTAACTCTTCGTTAAAATTTAATAAGTTTTCAACTTTATTCATATTTAATATGCATTATACTGTTTAAGAACAAAGTTAACACAATAATAAATGAATGATAAAATTGTATATGTATATGAAAAATTTTTTCTCTTTACCTTATATTTTTCTCTATCCTATAAATAGGATTAGAGGAATAAATTATTATCAGCAATACTCACTACTACCTCTGATCCTAAATATAAGAGTTATTAGACTAATTTGAATAGATTAAAAAAATAAGTTAAGTTAGTTATCTGTAATAAATAATTTTGTTTTTTTCAATATCTTTATTAATTAATTGTATTGGTTAGAATTACCATGATTAAAAAGACTTTCTTTGAAAAAAAGTTAGATAAATATAATAGACAAAATATATTGATGTCTTGTATTTAAGATTAAAATAAAATTAAAAAAAATCTTATATTAAAAACTAAAATAGTACTACCTCCGATCCTAATTTTAAAAGAGCTAGTTGGCTAATTTAAGGAGATTAAGAAGTAACTTGAGTTAATTATTTGTCCTAAACAGGTGTCTACTTTTTAGAAGGATTATTTTAAAAAATATATATATAAGTAAATGTGAGAGATAAAATAAATTAAGATCTTATATTTAGAGTCAAATAAAATTAAACAAAATTTTTTATATTAAAAACAGGAGGTAGTACTAATAAAGTTGAACATGCGGGGGGCTTAAAACACAACCCACGTTTCAGGGTGGGAGGCTCTGTGGATCCAAGAGGATCATGTTTTTCAGTTGGGGTTATGGAAATGCGTGTGGGGAGAAATAGTGAAAGAGACAAGATTTAAAAACGGGGAGTGGGTGGGAGTGACGACGCAGGAAATCCGGTGGGGAATGTGTAGAGCCGAAATGGAGTTCCATCTGCAACTGTGCCATTGTGTACTACAACATTCACACTGCTCATTTGTTTGTCTTTTAGTGCTTTCTGGGTTTCGTGCGTGTCTTACCCTTGTTTTCCTTGAATCATGAAAAATATTTGTACCAAAGGGGGGAAAAAAAGAGAGGTAAAAACCCAACCACTCCCTCCATTTTTTTATTATAAAATATAAATAATTGAATTGAAAAATTAATTAAAAATGACAAATATGTAGAAAATATATAATAAGAAACTGAGGGAGTATTTTGTTGATGCATATAGAGCCATGGCTTAAAACGGTGCCGAAGACAAACAAATAAATAAGATTATGTGTAGATGGCAGTAAAAAAAAAAAAAAAACCTCCACATTTTGTTGGTGGTTCATTAAAAATCGTAATATCCACATTTCTGAAAACGTTTTAGGCTTCGAAGATTGTGCCGAGGAGCATGGAGAGAAAATGGGAAAAATTACTACGTACATTCTAATAAATAAATGACAAGTCACACAATAATTCCATGCTAGGAATTTATAATAATTTTCTCAATTATTATTAATATATCAATAATGTGGGGGTCGTTTTTTGGATTCATTGTTACGGTCTCCCGTGTTATCATCGATTGGTGCTTCTCGTGGTGCGGCATAGCTTTCTCATTTGTCTTGTAATTATAGCACACTTGCATCGTTTTCTGGTTCACAAAAATATTCTTGCAAAACAGACAAAGAAATGAAAAAGAAAATGTCGGAGACAAAACCTTCTCTTGTGGGTTAAAATCATGGTTTCATACGAGAAAATTGGAGGAGATGGAAAGAAAATTTTTAACAAACTCAGTTTAAAAAATTAGAAAAATAGGATTATAAAATTTTGATGACGAGAAAATATAAGATAAAATAGTAATAAAAAATAATTAAAATATTTTATAAGGAAAAATGATTAAAATCTTTTAACCCTATTTCTTTAATTTTTTAAATCAAACTCATTAAAAAAAATTTTATTCCCTTCCTTCCCCTCTATTTCCCTCATACCAAACTCATCCTAAGTGTATCTTTTTCATACTTGAAAATATCTCTATAATTTTGACTAAGATATAACTCTTTTTTTTTATAATTTTAATTTGATTGAAATTTAATTCTGACTTTAATTTAATGTAACTCAATTTTTATAATTGTGGTCATTTAACGTATTAGTTTTTAAACTTTTTTTTTCCCACCAACGATTAATTCTTAAGCTTTAAAGCATTAATTTTAGTCATTTAATAATTTTCTGGAATTTTTTTGATGCCTAGCTCCTATAAAATCAAACTTCTGAGACTTCAATGTCATTCCCCAAATAAGTTCAAATTAACATTTTGGACTTGGCAATAATGCAATATAGATATTTAAGCCCACACACACCAAGCCCTGGTCCACCCAATGAGGTTTTATACAGTGACGACAAGGATAAATTGTCATCCACATTTTGTAAATTTTTTATTGTACTAATTTCCTGTGGACTATAGTTCAATGCAAAATGCGATGGCCCAAAAAAAAAAGTGTAAAATGCATATTTGTTGGGAAAAACATATAAAAATGGTCAATTAAAAAACAACACACCATATGTATCTCTACACCTCTTTATATTCCTCCGATCTTAAATATAAGATCCTTATAAGAGTATAAGGGTCTTATATTTAGGATCGAAGGAGTATATATGAAATAAAACTAGCTAAAGATAAAGATATTAGAAGGCAAAACATTAAATTATGAATTGACCGGGTCTTCTCAGAAACTTCCTAAATCTTTAAAAAAGAAAGAAAGAGACATGTTATATATAAATATATTTATATATAATATGAAATAATGAATGGCGAGGATTGTGCAAATATTCCATTCCAACAAGAAATTATTTTTGATTTGCTGTACTATAAGGCCATAAAGAAGAATTAATAACATGCATCTTAATTTTCCATGCTATCTAAATAAAATAATTAATGTAATTAACCACTCTTCCAGGTATAACCTTCTCATTCGTTCTAATGATTGCGTGTTCAGATATAGGAAAATTAGTCATCCTCCATGAGGATCAATTATCCTGTCTATAATTTCGTAGTTTTATTTTATTGCCAGCTTTTTAAAAGGAGCTAGTGTTATTAAAAAAGAAAAAAAAAAAGCCTGCTCAGTGAACAAAACGATGTGATTGGATGTTCAGAATCATAAATTTTTTGGCCAGAAGAATTTAATAAAGTTGAAAAATAATATATATTGGACAATATAATAGAGTGGTGGGGACAAGTGATTAATAGGGAATGTTAACACTTCGGAATCTACAGCAAACATGTGCCATCCAAATCATAAAGGCCATGTCGAAGAAATTCTATTCCAATACTCTCTAAAATCTAAATTGAATTATGTTCGTATATATATAATAAGAGATATAAAATATAATTATATATAAATTATACATGTTCTGTTTCTTCACAAAAATATATTTCTTTTGAAAACACTTTTATGGTTTATTCGATTGACTGACAATTTGAAGTGTTGATGCAATTAAATGTGTAACACTTTATATTATTCTGTTCATGGTTACTGATCCGCAGATATGAAGAAAGCATTGGTTTTGAGTTGTTATGTCAAACCTTTGAAAAAATAAAATGATTTCCACCGTTGAATTTGAGAGAGAGGGCCTGAAAGTTTATAGCTAAAGCCACTTTGTAAGAAAGGTAAAGGGTCCTTTTTTTGGGGATAATAAGGTACTACTTCCGATCCTTAATATAAGACCCCGTTTGATTTTTTGTTTAGTCCTAATTATAAAACCCCAATCCATTTTGTCTCTCATATTTATGTATTTTTTTTTTCAAAATAATCCTTCTAATCATGATAGTTTTAGCCAATACACTTAATTAGCAAGGATATTTTAGGAATGACAACACTTATTTATTACAAATAACTAACTTAACTTACTTTCTTAATCTCCTCAAATTAGTCAACTAGGTCTTATAATTAGGACCAGAGGTAATATTATTTTATTTTGGGACAAGCGTAGAAAATTAAAAAAAAAAGTG